AATAAAATAGAAAATTTTGCTTATTTCGTGAAAGGATGGATTTTTCTTGAAAAACGACACCTCTCGAGTATTTCGTATTTTTCGACCAGAAAGAAGTTTTTGCTAAGGCGAAAGACTAGATATTCGTGATCAGCAGCTAAAAATCTATCAAATGATGTAAAAAAAAAGACAAAAAAATTTTTTTACTCGAAATTCGCTTTGCCGGCACCTTACATAAATATAAATTACATAAAAAGAGAAACAGACTTATTCCATTTGTTGTTGTTCATCGGTTTTTCGTACACTACCAGTGTCACCTAATGTTTCAATTCGATCAGCGTCATCTAGTTTGTTTTTGTTATCAGGAGGAAGAAGAAGAAGAAGAATAAGAAAGAATATTCCTGTTTTTTGATTACCTTGAGTTATGAGGTGATGCCTAGGAGCTGATTCAGTAATCTGATATCTTCTCTACAATTAGTACAAGCTGTAACGTTGGACAGAAGGCAAGTCTGACGTAAAGTTCTTGCATTCGATTGCCTGAGCTCCACACATATACTAACTAGTTGCATGCTAGCCACAGAAGTATGTATATGTCATAACGTGGTCATGATGCTATCGGACGAGTAACCAGAGACAAGCAACCATTAGTGACTTGTTCAGGATCATTCTATGGCTGGTAGTATTGAGATTTGAATCAGATGGTTGATTATATAATTGGCCAACACGAACAAGTTCATTAATAGGTACTTGAGATAATGAATAAGCACGATATAATTGTGATATAACAATTGGTATTCGTGTTGCAACATTTGGCGGTAAAAATATAGAAGTAAATTATCTTTTAATTGAAGTAATGCAAACATTGAACTATTGATTTCAGATTAACTATATTGCACATTATCATATAACATACAAAAGGCGACTATAAGCTTTAGAGTGATTTTGGATCCCGGAACCGAATATATGTGGATTTGTAGAGAAAGGAGTGCTCTATCTAATGGTATATATATATATTATGAAATTTCATTGTGTACCATGAAAGAAAATTAAAATTAAAAAAAAGCGTAAATTTGACACGTTTTGTAAGGGGTCTTTCTCTATCAAAATTCAAATCGCTTAGAACCAAGTCAATGTCTAACTCAATCATGTGTATACCGTTCGACAGCCCACACTGTTTACTTTCATAATCTATATTATTCTTCTTTATATTCGAGCTATGATATGATTTGTAATAAGTGTTACAACAAAATTTCAACTACGCAATTGAACTATAGAGAGAGCGAACAAACGAACCGTCGAGTGTGGATCACTATAAAAAGGAATAGGTAATTGTGATCGTTGAAAAACGAGCACTTTCTACCATCAAGAACGAATAGAGAGACAGTGTTAGTGTGTGCTCTCCAACAACATGACACTTAAATAATAATATATTTATGCAAACTTTCTTTGTTTATTACAGCGAGATTTATGGCCAGGTAAAAGAGTATGTATAGACATAGTAAAGATTCTGGTAAACATCCTAGAATTTCATAGAATTCTCGACAACGTAGCAAAAGCATCATTTGATCTTCAACACAGTAGATGAAAGAATGAAGGATGCTTCTTCAACATCTTTGAAAACTTCATACAGTTCTAGAATATTAGCGAGAATCTTTGCTCTCTTTATATATCTGTACCCGTGTATTTCTTCTATAATATTTGTACTTGATGATGATCTAGAATAAATCGACAGCTCGCTTACTTCTTAAATCTTATTCGAACAACATACTATGGACGATAATTCTATAGGATCTATGACTCTTTGTGCTCAAAAAAAAATCGTGTCGTCTATATTGCCACGCCTCAGTAAAGTATTAATAAACTTTATAAATGAAATCTTACCAGGATCATTCTATATATTATTTCGTAGAGCAATGAAATCTCTACGATTCTGCATATTTGAAACATATTTTAGAATGTCAAAATTGAAATTATAAACACTGTTTCAAGTAGGATCATGGAAAAAGGTAAAATGTTTTTTTTCAAGTTATTATAAGCCGTGTCATAGCTTGAATATAAAGAAAAATGATGTGGATTATGAAGGTAAACGGTGTGGGCTGTCGAACAGTATACACATGATTGGGTTATGTTTCGACTTTGTTCTACACGATTTGAATTTTAGCATAGGAGGACTCCTTATATAAAAGGTGTCAATTTTATGATTTTTCATTTTAATTTTCTCTTACGGTATACAACAGAATTGCATAATATATATATATACCATTAGATAGAGCACCTCTTTCTCTACAAACCTACATATATCCGATTTCAGTATCAAGATCTTATAGTTGCCTTTATTTGCATCAGTTTTTACGTTTGTTGCAATATCTTCAAGTTCATCTAATGGTTCTAATTCTTCTTATTGATCATCATGAATAATTATTCCACTATTTACATCAATACCTGATCGTTCTTCATCTTCACCTAACGTTAACAAAACTGGACGGTATAAATAAATAAACAAATTTCATATAATACAATACAAATTAGATAGCTAAATTTTTGGCTGTCAGTCATGATTGTGGATTAATTGTGTTCGTCAACACAATATGATGTGATTATTTTTTCTCTTTTCTTTTTCTTTTTCTTTTTTCTTTACATTATATGACGTATATTTAAAACCAACCTATAACTACGAGGCTCTTTCTCTAGAGAAAGTGCAAATTATTCATTCTTTTTTCGTTTATTGTGTTTGTTGAAGCGTTCTTTCATTATTTGATTTAACACAGGTGTCTATTAAACATAGAATGGTATAAAATAGAACAGTTAGAAAATACAAACATAAAGAAAAAGCTGGGTGAAAAAGTAAATTGCGCACGAGACAGTAGTTAAACACTGAAAGAATTATCAAATATATGCATACATTTATATATAATATATTTTATAAATGAAAAAAAATGAAATAACTAGACAATAATCTACTGTTACAATCCATTTGCAGAAGTGATTATTTTTACAACGACATATTATCAATCGATTCTTCATTGAAACCAATTGCTTTATTTCGAGCTAAAGCAAGACTTTTTGAATCAAAGAATTTTATTTCATAAAACTAATAATATACCTACAAAATAGAATGTATCTGAATCATTATCAGGTATTGAAATAAATGGTGGTGGTACATTGGCTAAATTATTCCAATCAATTATATTAAGAGAAATAGAGTCCTTTTTTAGATCTGAATAATAATAAATATTCGACAAAATCAAAATATGTTTATTTATTAATAGATAATTCATATACCGTCTAATTGAAATCGTAAAATCGAATCATAATTAAGTAAACCTTTAATTACATTGATTGCATCTTCTAATAATTGATTATCATCATCATCATCAGACCATAGAAATCGATAATTTAATATGTTAGATATTATTACATGTGGACCAACATCTTAGATCGATGAAAAAAAAACAAAAACAAACAAAAATATTTACTTAAATAACCTGATGTATCCAAAACAGGTCCTAAAACATTTCGATGTATTGGTGATTTAAGAAAACTACTTCGAATAGATGTATTCATTGTTATATCAGTTAATATTTGATCACTTGAATAATTTTGAACACGACAAATTGACTAAAAAAGAACATATAATATGATAGCTTTTTCTATGTTTCTAATAGAAAAAGAAACATTTTCTTATTTTCATCTGATGAAAAGAAATCCTAAATTGTCAATACATTTTCAGAATTCATTTCTAACTAGAAGTTTATTATAATAAGATCAAATGAACGAGTCTTTCTGATGGAGAATTTCTAATTGTTATTTCAAAGAATATTAATAGAATTTTGAACTAAAATTATAGAAGGAAGACTTATAGAGCTTTAGATCTGATTTCATTGTAGCTCATTTTTAATCAATAGAAGAACTGAAGAACGAAATTCATTGTTGCTCAATCAGTTTCACTAGATTCGCATATGAGTATGACTTGATCGATCATTCATTTCTTCTTGTTATAATGAACTTCAAAAAATTTTATGTCAATTGATTAATGAAAATAAAATAGTTCATAGATATATTGTGTTTTTTTTCATAATACAAACTTTTGATGAGCTATCATTAATCGGTAATGATAGTTGATCTAATTTTATATCTTCTATTGAAATTGAGATAATCTTATCATCAAGATTCGTTGATTTTTGACTTGGTTAACTTTGATTCATTTGTGATATATCAAATGAATATAAAATATATAATAAACATGGTGAATTCGATGATGAAACAGTTGTCATTGTTGTTGCTGTTGAAGTAACTGTTTGACCAATTCCATGAATTAGACGATATTGATTTTGAGGAGTTGATGATGAAGCAAGTCATTATGGCATAGATTTTTGATAAATATGTGGTCGTTGTTTTATTGTTTGTGATATATTTGTTGATGATTGTCTATTTGGACTAGAAAGAAGGAAATCGAATGCATTATTTGTATTTGCATCTTCATGATCATTAAAATCATCATGTCCAAATGATAATGGTTCATTTTTAGGAATACATTCGGATAAAGTTTTTCGCTAAACACGTACATTACAATCTATAATACGTGAGAATGATATTGAACGATGAGAATTGTTGTTTGAATAAATATTTTCTATTGACGTTAATGTATGAAAAGGATCTGAATCTGATTCATTAGAAGACTAAATAAGATAAACTAAGAAATAATTTATTTAAAATAAAAAATAAACTAATCTCTTACAAAACTGAGGTCAGATGTTAATGATATAATTTGATCAGGTATACGAAAAGCACGTACTTTACATACAGATGATGTACCAATAACATCGGCGACTGATACTTCTAAAAAAATTATATGAATTATAAATCAGCTTTAACGATAGTAATTTCAAAAATTATACAAAACTTGGAATAATCTTTAATCAGATCTACTATATATTGGCTTAAATTAAAGATAACTTTGCATCGAATCATATAAATGTTTTCGTGTTAATTTTTTCTTCAATTTAATCCACTAATTGCAAGATTCATTTATGGAAGAGTTAATCATTTCGAAAAACTTATATAAAATCCAGTAGATTATTTTTGTAATTCAATACATATATAGTACTGCTTAAACTCATAAGAATAAAGTATTGTTGGCTCTTTTTCTCTGATGTCAACTGGCTAACTCTAGTCCAAACAGTAATTTGAAGGGCCAATAAAGTTCTCTATCAGAAGAAATTTTTTTCAATATTTCATAATTAGATTATATAGGAAAGTTTTCAGATTCTTGAAGATCTAATGAGAGTTCGTTTTTAACAACACCATTTGAAAGATCACAATATTTTGAACAATATGAAGAGTCCCTGCGTTTTTTAGAACCTTCTCTTGCAAAGTTACAAGTATAAAAAAACATGATTTTTTTTCAGCGACTTTTTTGATAAATTTTCCTTTTTTTACGTGTTTCGTGATGCTTGAAATTTTGTAAGAGAGAAGGTCTTAAAAACATGACGACTTCTCATATTATTCAAAATGTCATGCTCCTGAAAATGGTGCTGTTAAAAATGAAACTCACACAACGTTCTCTGCAACTTGAAAACTACCGTGTTCAATTTCGTTTTAGAACACTTTCCTACATAGTCCAACTATGAAGTCTCGGTGAAGAGGAAACAGTAGACTTCAAAACTGAAGTCTCTACTATTTTCGTCTCGAGTCTTGGTATATAATGCATTTGATAAAGAACTTTATTAGCTATCCAAAAAATTATTTGAATTTGAGTTAGATACTCGGTATTAGAAAAAAAAATAAAAAATATCCTATTGATATAATTTTGATCAGTACTCTATATTCGATCAAGGTCTAATCATATTCATAGAAAGACTATTTCACACGAAGTTTAGTCACAAAAAATAGATATGAGATTATTACAATTATTATAGATAAATCTTTATCATATGCTAATACACTTTTGTAGCTTGTTTCTATTATAGGAAACAATATATATACCATACTTCGTCTATTTCGAATTTCGAATAATCCAAGATCAGTTAGTTTAATATTTCCTGTTGCTGATATCAACACATTATCTGGTTTTTAATCTCTATTTCGAGAAAGAACACGAAAGCTTTTTAATAAAACAGAACATTGTTTTTGTTTATTTTTACCAATATGTAACATCTCGTTGATGCAAATAATCAAGTGCAAGAGCTATTTCAGCAACATAAAATTGTGCTTCATGTTTTTCAAGTATATGTTTTATACATAAAAATGATATTAAATCATCATCAATCATATATTCCATTATTAAATAAATATTTTCTTTGCTTTGTAAAGAATAAAAGAAACGAACTACAAATTGACTATTCATTGTTGCTAGTGCATTACATTCATTAAGAACTAAATAACAAAAACTTTTCTTGAAAAAATTTTCATTATATTGATCCATTAAATTCTTTTTACCTATATATCGTTTATTAATAAGTTTAATTGCATATTTTGTTTTATTTTCATCATTTTTCTTTGTTGCTAAATAAACTCGTCTAAAGCAAAAAAAAATCAAACATTATTTTTTCTTCGATATTTAAATGAATTTTGATCATACTCATAACCACCACGACTGATCGTTTTAAGAAAATGGAAATCATCTATTGTTGGTAATTAAAAACAAAATAGAACCTAGATTATTTTAATTCATTTTACTGTCAGATATGAATAAAAACTCAAATAATCAACAGAAAACTTTATTTATTAAATATTATTGTCTAAAAAGTTTCTAATAAATTATTTTCAAAGATTCAACTGTTTGATGATATAAAAACTTGAATAATTGAACCATTTGTTTTCCTAGTTTTCTTCAATATTGAGATGTTGATATGATATTAATATATAATCACAAATGATATTTAGTCAAATAAGTTTATTCATATGGTGCGAAACATAGAATTTATGTAGTCTTCGCGAGGTTTTTTTCTTTCTTTCTCGAGTTCTGTCTCAACAGTTGTTATTTTGTTTCAGGATAATTTCAAGAATGGAACGTCCAAATATAATCGTTCAAACACGAGACGAAAATATCGAGATTGAATTGATATGATTCGTTTTCCAATCTTCTATAGCAGCTTTAGTTTATCTATAGAGAACATGATATTTTTTCAACATTCGAGAGAATTAAAACGTAGATATCAATAAAAGTTAGCCGTCATTCTTTTTTAAGCAAGTGATTATATATAGAATAGCTGATAATCGAAAAAAAGAAAGTTAGAATGAAAATCAAAAGATCTACCGATAGTATTCATGAGAAAAATGTTGATAATTGTTAATAGAGTTCTCTTAGTAATGAATCACTCAACATTTACGTTACAGTATGGTTTCGACTTCGATCAGTTGATGGATTGACATGTATATTTTTCGATTTACAAGGACAAAAAAACCTCTAATTCCAATAAAATATAAATATCCTTTGAAGAAAAGTGTTTCGTAATCAATCGTAGTAACGATCATTCATTCTTTATGACAGACGAATTTTTCGATAATTGACATCACAAGCTTCACAATACATTCTGCAGTTGAGTAACACAGTTGAATGTCATCTTATTGTTATTCGATCTCAAATTGAAAACAGATTATTTCTCATATTTGTTGAATCAACCATAGACATTTAGAATGAAAATTCAAGAATCATATATGTCATAATATCAAATTCTTTTATTATTAATTCTTATCACTACAAATACGCTAAGATAATTGTTCATATTTTTTTAATATATATATATATATATTTTTTTTTTTTTAAACAAACAAAAACAAAAAAAAAACCTAGCGTGAATATATATACTAAATGGTAAGACTAAATGTTCTAAACTCGGAATTAGATGAACAAAGTAAACTATTACATAAAACACAATTGGATACATACAATAGTAAACAAACTCAGATTGCAGAATACATGTTTGTTTCTCTTTCTCAATTCTCACCATTACGATAGAAAGACATTGGTCTAGAACAAAGCATCAACTAATCATCGTACGAATTGACAAAACTATTTTTTTGAATGTTTTGTTTTTGTGCCGGGCATAATAAGGGAACAAATAGGTAGTCTATGTGTGGAAAAAAAAATGATAAAAACAAAAAAAAAAATATTTAAATTTGTTATTCTTGTTCTTTGATTTGTTGTAACATCATTTCTTGTTGATCACGTAGAATTCGCTTTTGAGCTTGTTCACGTGCACTTGTATAACTAAAATCTTCAATTGTATCATCATATAAAACAGAATAATCAATATCTTTTCCACTTATATCAGTTGATTCTTCTTCAACTCCACTTGTTGTTGTGGATTTTTCCTTGTCATCATCTTCATCCGATGAACTATCAGCATGATGACCTTTAAAACTTGGTTTTGTTGATACTTGAGATATTACAGTAGAAAATGATCGACGACGTTGATCAGCTGAATTTGGATCATTTTGTACAACAGGTGCTATATTTTCTTTAAATAGTAAAACAAATATATATATATAACAAAATGTTTTCAAATTATTTCAATTAGAAATGCCTTAAGGAACTATGAATATTCGAGAAAGAGTTCGGGTCTTTAGCTTATTGCCGAGGAGATCCAATATTTTCATGGTATTTTTTAAGTCAATATCCTGTCCCTGTTCAGAAACACTGATTTTCAATTTGAAATTTTGTATAAAAATAGATCTTGGCGAGAATGATTTATTGTCAAAGTTTCAGATCTTTTCTTTGTTTCTATCCTAAGATATGGTGATGGTAAAGTTATGCTTTTTACATTGCTCATATATACTGACAAATTTTCCTCTTGATACACCAAACTTCAGTGATCAACACAATCTTATGGAATCGATAAACATATGTAAAGGGTAGGAATCTGAAAAAAATAACTGATTATGAGTCATAATAATATTCGGATCTATGAGAGAGAGTATTTTGAAAACTTTTTTTTGGAATCATATTCCATGAGAGTACTCGATCAGTTCATTATTTCTTTTTTTTTTCATAGTAAATGTCAAAAAACAAACGACTCAAGATTTACAATTACTAATTGAATTCTTATAAGAGTCGTGTTAACAATGTCTATTAATCGGAAGCAAAACGAAATATTGTTTAATTTCTTTTTGCTCGTATAATTAATCTAGTATTCATATTAATATTAATTTCAAAATTTTTCTATTCATTGCCATTATTGACTATCTTCAATAGATTCGAGTTTATTAGAAAAACATATAGTAAATTGTTAAATCTATTAATTGATTGCATAAACATGTCTCAGTCAAACAAATTCGGATATTTTCATGAACCGAATTAATTTCAATAATATTTCTTACCTAGATTAAGTACAAGTGATCGTTGTCGTTCTCGTTTCTTATGTATTGGTTCATTTTCAAGATCAATTTCTGAACTATCTGGTGGTA